TTCATCACTATCCTCATCATAAATCCTCTTACCCATCCTCTTCCTCAGTGTCTGCTTGACCTTCTCCACCAAAGTCATCATCGTGCACCGATCATACGTGTAGACATCACCACATCCACTCACACGATGCATGTGATCCAGCATCATTCGATGAACATACACCTGAGGATGCAGGTGATAATGTGTGATATGATGTTCGGTGGCGAGATCACCCATCTCTCGTGACAACACACACATCTCAGTCAACTTCTCCTCCAACATCCTCTCCACATTCACAGCCATCTCCACAATCCACTTGATTTCGTCACGTGTGTCCTTCAGCTGAGTGATGGTGGTGAGTGGTCGGATGTCAGTGAGAGTGTATTTGCCACCACGAGTTGTCTGCCAGTCAATCAGATTCTGACCAATGGCTCGATGACGACGAGCACAGAGCTGGAAGAATGTGTGGAATCCTGTCATTCAGAGATCGTGTGTGTTGCACTGAGCAGCCAACGAGTCGTATATGATTGTCGCTGACTGTGTCACATTGATGATCTCATTCAGTTTATTCTCACACTCCTTCGGATATTTCGAGGTCATCATGATTGAGTGCATGGCTGATTGACTAGTTGACTGATTGTGTGATTATCTGATTTGCCAAGTAACTGATACACTGACTAGTTTTGATGTTTATCTGTGACACATGCTCCGTAACTTTTATTTTAAAGGTGATAATCGAGTGTTGACTTCGTCTTGTTTTGCGATAAGGTGACTGTTAATCATTACTCTCATCATCATTGACTAGGATGTGATTTCATGTTTCATGCGAATTCGTGTGACCGTTACAGCCTTTGTAAATACATCGTATTTCGATTTAACACTTTTTATAGATTTGACGTTTGCATTAACGTGTGAAACTTGTCTCATCTATTTATTGTATCAGCCTAGGAGACACAAACCTATTCCCAAAGTTTCAAAACCCTCGTCGAACAGCTAAAATTCACAGAATTATTGGGATCTAAATTTTTCTAATGATTATACAAGTGCATGCATCCATGGTTTACAAACCACCATATTGTCTCAAGAAGTTGAATGAATCAGTTAACAAAGCGATATCAGACTGTCACAATCTCTGAGTTGTTTTCGAGTCATCAACATTCACGCTAACTGACTATAATGACTCACGGATTGACTTATTGCCAGGAAAGTATCTTGCTGACTGAGAATATACAGATGATATAGTCATCCTGAGTAAAGACGCTGATAAAATATTAAATCTTCTGAAAGCCTGGAGTAGCAGTCTTCGAATGTTTTGATATGTGAATCACTTCCGTCAAATATAAGATCGTGTTGCAGGACTGTACTGTACCTATTCTTAACTTAAAAATATAGAGTGAAGTGGTAGAATGTATTGACAACTTCACTTGCTTAGGAAGTTGAATCAGCCCCAGCTGGCTTACTGCTGACGAAATCTCAGAACGGATGAAAAAGGCTTCTTTTGCATTTGACAGATTACTCCATCTGTAGTGGTGACATGATATCCGGCTGTCTACCAAAGGACGTATGTACTACGTAGCAGTTCGCTTTGTCATCCTTTATAGCCATGAGCAAGATATGGCTATTTAAAGTGTAAGTTCTGAAAAAGTCGACTTTCTTTGATCATAGGGGTCTGCGTTCCATCTCCCGTGTTAAGTGATATTATAGGGTGAGTAACTGTGATGTAAGGCGCTGATTGTTAGTTAAGGAGGGAAAGTTAATCCATGAAGTTGTGAAATTGAGCCACTTGAGATGGCTACAACATGTGTTATACATGTCTAATCATCGCCTTCCTCGACAGTCAGTGTTAGATGACACAAGTTCAGGCTGGGAGAGAGCCAATAACGGTCAAACCAAAACTTTGAATCTGTGCATGAAAACCGTGACAATCACTTTGAGCTGCCTATGGAGGTGCAGACTAGTTGGTTGGAGCCCTTGTAATTATTATTATTATTATTATTATATCCTTTAGTTCCTAGAGGAACATAGAGCTTCAGCTGCGCACCTCCACTGCCTTCTGTTTTCTGACAACTTTTTCACCCCATTCCAAGTCTGCCCACATGCTTTCATCTCCTGCTCACATGACCTCCTCCAAGTCACCCTTGCACTGGCGACCAACTCGCTGCTTCCCTTTCGGGTTCCACTCGAGCGGTGGCTTGTCTAGTGATGTCACTTGATGGTTTCCCCAGAGTATGGCCAATCCATCCCCATTTCTTCCTGCATATTTTTTCACAATCCGTTCCTGATTGGTTCGCTCATTGCCAGAGATCCCTGTTAATGATCTTTTCTGGCCGGCCATCTGATCTTGAGTATTGGGCGAAGACAACTGTTGATGAATGTCTGAAGTTTGTTTGAGATGCTGTTTATGACTCGCCAAGTCTCTGATCTGTATAGTGGCACTGCCTTAACATTGAAGTTGAAAATCCGGATCTTGTTTTTGATGCTGAGTGCTGTTGACCTCCACACAGACTTAAGAGTAATGAAAGCCTGTCTTGCTTTCCCGATTCTGGCTTTGATGTCCTCGTCAGTTCCGTCTGCCTGTAGTTGAAACGATGCTTCCCAGGTCGGTAGGTAAAGGAGTCTGTTTCTTTCAGGTTCCTCCCATTTATGCTGGCTGATTGTTGTCTGTTGTTGTTGCTGTTGGTGTTGGCCAGGAATCTTCATCACCTCTGTTTTATCTATGTTCACTTGAAGTCCTATCTTTGATGCTTCTTCTGCCAACTTGTTGCTTTTCACTTGCATATCTTCCAGTTTGTGGGAAATCAGACATATATCATCGGCGAAGTCCAGATCCTTCAAGTTTTTCATGTGAGTCCATTTTATGCCTGTTCCCTCGTTGGTCGCCGTTGTCTGTCGCATTATCCAATCTACTGCAATCAGGAAGATCATTGGTGATAGTAGGCAGCCTTGCCTCACTCCCGTCCTCATTTCGAAGGATTCCGTAAGTTTCTCGTTGTGGATTACTTGGCATGCAGCATCGTCGTATAACTGTTAGATGAGATGTATAATTGTCGATGGGACCCCGTAGTAGCGAAGTAGTTGCCAAATGCCCTCTCGATCGACTCTGTCGAAGGCCTTTTCAAAGTCGATGTAGTTGAGATAGAGAGGTGACTGCTATTCTAAGCTTCGTTCAATGATGATCCGTAAAGTGGCGATTTGATCAATACATGATTTGTTTCTCCTGAAATCAGCCTGTTCCGGTCGATGTTTTCCACACAGGATTTGTTTGATTCTCGCCAGGATGATGCGGCTTAGTATTTTGCTTGGAATGGACAGAAGCATAATTCCACGCCAGTTTTTACATTGACTTAAGTCTCCTTTCTTTGGTAGTTTGAACAAGTATCCTTTCTTCCAATCCTCAGGTACTTTGACCTCCATCCACGCCTTCTTCAGCAATGGCGTCATCAAATCCTCTGTTGTCTCTGGGTCCATTTTCAAAGCTTCTGCTGGGATTCCATCTGGTCCTGCTGCTTTCCCAGCTTTTAGCATCTTGATTGCATCCAGGACTTCTGATTTCGTCGAGGGGTCAATGTTCACTGGTAGTTCTGCTTCCGTTGTTGGTATTGTTGGGCGTGTTGTAGGTGGTGCACGATTTAGAAGTCTTTGGAAGTGTTCAGCCCAGTGCTTTATCTGTTCCACCTCTTTGGTGATTGACTTTCCATTGTCGTCCTTTATTGGCTTGATCTGTGTCGAACTTTTGCCCGAAAGGTTCCTAGTTGTTTGGTAGAGTGTGGCGAGGTCTCCTTTGCCTGCAGCTTGTTCTGCTTCACTTGCCATGGTTTCATAATATTTTCTTTTGTCTTCCCTGGCACTCTTCTTCACTCTTTTGTTCAGTGTATTGTAGCTTGCATTCAGCTCCTGTTTTTGTTGCTCGTCAGTGCACTGGATAATCTTTTGTTTCACTGTCCTTCTCTCTTCTATTAGTTTCCAAGTGTCCGTAGTGAGCCATTGTTTGTCCTGTCTCTTCTTTCTGCCTAGAACTTCCATGCAGGTTTGACTCCACACCGTTTTCAAGTTGTTCCAGTGCTTTTCGACGCTGACCTTTTCTCTGGTGTTGATTTGTGTCTCGGCTTTTTCCTTATGCTTGCAATGAAGATGTCCTTTGTATCTTGGTCCTTCAGTTTTGAGTGTTCAACTTGGCTTGTGGTCTATTCGCCCTTGTGATGCTAAGAACCAATAACTGGAGACAACTGGTGATATGGCTATTCGCAAAGTCTCATATCTAATGAAGCCTTATGTTTTATGATATCACTATTCTTTCTATTGCACATTTATGTTTATTACTGTTCTTTTGAACCTGTACATAGCTGAAGTATTAGCCATTCGGGATCTGAAACCGAACCTCTGCATTCAAAAGCGATACATACATTCACTCGCTCTACCGTGGCCAGAGTAAAGTACTTACTGTGATCTCTTTTCCCCTGTTTTGTCCTTCTTTGTTTGCTACAAAGAGTGTGGGAAGTTGAAGTGCTTCACTTCTGTGCAAAATCCTCTGTTGAAATCAGTCAGTCAGTTCCTCAGTTATACTTCCTAATCCCGTTCTCATAGGAAGCAGCCATAAAGTAGCATTACTCCAGAACAGACAAAACATGGACAATACAGTATCAATTTCTTATTTCTGTTGTCCTTTTTATGATTAGTTCTCTAATTCATATTATATTACACAACAGTTAGATATGATGTATTACAGGTATGATGTAATTTTTCTTAATTTACGTATATTTTTTTCATATGAATTTTGTACATTAAATCTAATCGCAGAATGGATTACATAAGCTTCTAATTGTCAACTTGGATAAGTAATAAAATTATAAGGAGCAGAGAGAGAGAGAAAAGGTGATATGTATTCGAAAATTGACAGAAAATTGACAGTATGAACATATTGTTCAAAACGGTACATAGAGAAGGACCAATTTAACAGATCAATAAAACGTCAAATTTAATCATGTTAACATTTATTTCACCTTATACTGTAGGCAAATATCTTATTTCCTTCCGCCTCGAACAGGTTTCTTGTTACCACCACTCGCAGCAGCCTCTTTTTCAGCTTCAATAGCTAAAGCTTTCTGTTTACCAAGTGGAGTTTTTCGATACCATGTCTGTGTTGAAATAGAGTTAGTAAAACAAAAGGTTAGGGGTTAATTTCAGATGTGTTATCGGTTGGTTGAATCTACCGACTTCATGGCGAAACAGTATTAATTATAATACCTTTATTCCAGACAGTGCTTTTGGCTCCAATATAGAGTTTTCAGCATGCAGTACAATATCGAATGCAATTTTCTTATTACATACTTAGTTGTCCGGGCATAAAATCATCTTTATTCGCCTCCAGTTCTTACTGGTGAGATGCAGCTAAGAAACAGCTGAGTATAGAGAGGATGTTCTTGGTTTGACAAGATAATATTCGCTAATGAGTCCATCTGTTGACTACAACACTCTTAACAAGTTAGTTTAGCGACACCCAACTCGCCCTACTGATAGCTTTTAGTTGCCTTCGTAGTGTAACAATGTCTTTCTCAAGTAGCCTAGTAAGGATCAAGCAGGTGAAGCAATAAATAAATAACTATAATTCTTTGATCGTCGGTGGCAAAGTGATTAGGACGCTCGCCGACAGTGCACATGGTCTGGGGTTCGATCCCAGGCCGACCATCAGTCGGTCTGCTAAATTCGGGCAGAAAATTCCATACTTGTATTAAAGATACTGTGTGAAGTCAAGCTACAATAAAAAAAATAAAGAATAATAGGTAGAATTCAGGAAACAAACATATATGAGCATTAGTCAGTCATAGATTAATTGGGACCAAATAAATCCCTGGATTACTCGTTCGTATTTATGCAGTGATATCCTTATCTCGTGATTTGAAGAGCATAGCGTCAGTCTTGCACAGGATACTCTTTGTGCTTTCCCAAGTAATTAAAAAACAGATATCCGGAGGCCCTTTATCTTCATTGGTTTTTTCACTGACACCTATTTGTGTCAACATCTTTCACAAGCGACTCTAGCTATTGAAGCTTCATTTGTAATCACGTAACGGTTTAATCACATTCATACACTAAGTTACTGAGTCAAATATTCAGTTAAGTCAAAAGAATAATAATTACTCGAGCAACGCTATTTTAAACAAGAAGGCTAAATGTGGCCTCCAGTGCATTGGCTTTTGTGACTTATTTAAGACTGTCTTCCACAATTCAATTACAAAATCGTTCAGAACGAGTGAAATAGTCATTATACATCAGTAGGTAGAAACACAATACATATATATTAGTGGTGATATAATTATGGAGTATTATGAGTTGATAATGTACACTTATTATTTCAATGTAGATTTCGTCCTGAACCAACATCAATTAGAGAGATCATTGAAGCCAGGGAGCACTAAACAGCTGTTTCGACCTACTTAGGGACTCTTCGGCCCACCAACATTCAAATCCTGGATCTTTAGGTCACAAGGCGAGTCCGTAGATCATTTAACTACTGGGACGTGACCCAATGGCCCGTTAATTCCACCTTCTATCAATTTGTCATTTTAATGTGACTACCACTTAATACCATTGGCGAGTAATTACCCTAAATACCCGACCTAGTGGACCTCACTAGAATTCCAGTAAAGTTTGTCTTCTAGCCAGTCTCTAGACACCATCACATTAATTTCCATGAGTTGGTTTGTAGGGATTTTATTTTATTTCACGTTTGGACTTGGATTTATGTCAGTTAGAGAACCATTGGAAACCTGGAAGTACGAACCACTTGTTTCCTCCTAGTTTCCTTCCACCGAAATGCTCACTGTATATTGATTGATATGTTGGCTCCTAGAACAGGTACTTTGATTGCGTGTGAAGATTAGCATGAAGCTACTTTCGGTTAATGGTAACTAGTAGTGAGATCTAGGATGCAGTAGTGCTGAGTTCAAGTCTCAGTAGGGACATTGTCACTCATTGACGAGGCTGATGAGCCTCAAATAGTGTGAAATGCTCATCCTGAAGTTCACTACCTATTCGAAACTAACTAAAATAAGAGTAATACAGGAACCCTGATCTTGCTGCCACATAAGACATTTAGACAGTCACTAGGATAACACGCAGTAAGTTGTAGTACATATAATGTATGACAATGTTCCATTAAGTAATGAAAATTAATTTCATGACTTCTTCACTAGACTTAAAAAGCCTTAGGAACTGTTATCTGTAAACTTAAGAATGAAACGATATCGTGATGACGACAGGATTGACCTGTGTCAATGCACACTACCTTGGACACTGGCTTACAGTTGACAACCTCATTCATCATTATACCTTGATCATTACACACAGACGTGTCTATGAAGACGAAGACATTGACTGAATTGTGTGATATTATTCCAACAATAGGTGTAGAGGTAGGCAGCTTATTTTAATCACAGTAATTTCCTAAAGGTAAAGCTTAAGAGAAATCATAGTTTCCGTCAGCTGTTTGTTTGAAGCAGTAAGGTTTATAAAGGTCTCGAACTGGTTTAGCTCTCCGGATTGAGTCAAACTAAAGACACCACTGGCAAAAATCCGCCTCAGAAGATTGAAATGGCTGTTCTGCTCTTCGATCAAGTGTGCTGATTGATGTAAGGGTCATACATCTACTCATATTAATCAACCAGTAGTATATATCGCTATGCATTTATTACATGTGGTAGGTCTTCGTCACCAACCAACATTACTTAGAGAGATCATTGAGTTTTCAAGATTTAGTATGTAGGGGTTCTAATTGTTTCAGGTCGGAACACGGGTTGATATCAGTTAGAGAATCAGTAGAAACCAGGAAGTACTAGACAGCTGTTTCATCCTAATTTGGGAATCATCAACAGTAGGTACCCACAGCTGGGTTTAGCCCAGGACCTTCCAGTTACAAGGCACGCTCGTATACCTTTCAGCTACTGGGACCCAATTCAATGGCCCATGAATTCTAACTTCTACCAACTCGTGATTATAGTGCAACCACTGACGAATATCATCGGTGGGATCTCCTTCCTCACACTTGACTGAATGGACCTCACTGGTCACGACTTCTCACTAGAGCTGCAGGAAACTTCGTCATGTAGCAAGTCACTAGCGAGCATCAGAATCATTTTCAAGAATTAGTTTGTAAGGATTCTTTTTGTTTCAGGTCAGGCCACGAGTTGATATCAGTTGCCTGAAGTTCTAGTGAGAAGTCGTAACCTGCGGGGTTCATCATGTCAAGATAAAATGAATGCTCACCGAAGGTACTGGTGAGAGCAGAAACGCTGAATCAGGAGTTAGCAAAGTTACAATTCGGGGTTCGCTGAATTCCAGCCCAACTTGCTATTTAACCAAAGATCTTGGTCTCGTAACCTGAAGATCTTAAGTTCGATACGCGGCGGTGGGATTGTAGGTGCGCACTACCGGAGAGTCATTTCCAAACTCGGATGAATTAGCTTCCCGGCACTGTGTGGTTTGCAGTCACATCTCTAACTGATGTTGGTTCTTGATGGAAATCTAACAATTTTAATTCAATCGAGATCTTCACAAATACGATAATCTGATTACTCATTTATGCCTGATTTCTTGATTGCCATTTATACTATCAAACAGATCACATGTTTTGTAGTCTGAATATTTCAGGTCGAACTGTGTAAATGGCAAGTGGCAAATTCATTTGTAAACTTTTACATTCGCCAACTGCAAACAATTGCATTTCCTCTGACATTAATCATTTATGTCTATGAGAAACAAAAAAATAAGTCGAACGACTGGAAAGAAACAAATAACGGCATTTTAGGACTTACCTTATAGGCTTCTTCTTCATCAGCGAATACTGGTTCCATTTGTGCTAAAGCGCCAATAAACTCTGATGCTTTTAAACACTTTCTAGCCAACTGAGCTATACGCCTCTCTGTAACCACTTGACTACAGGCTTGAGCTATTTGACCAGGTGTATAACCATCAGATATTTTTGATAATGATGTAATGTCTAAGTTTTCGGTGAGTATACCACCATGACGAAAAATCTGTGTTCTCCAGATAACTAGAGTCAAGTTGGTCCGTGTATGAGTACAGAAACGAAAGCAGAATACAAACCATTTTGAAACAGTCATGCTATGTACAGATAAACATCTGTGATAATTAAATAGCCTTAAAGCAAAAATAGCAGTTTGTGCAAAATGAACGGCACTGTTGTTTATTTTGTCGGCTTCGCGTCATCTGCTTGCTGTCTAAGTCGAGTTTCAAGCATCTGTTAGCTAGTGATTCGGATAACTCGAACAGAACTGATTAATACTGTCTATTCATAATTTCAAAGGATCTTAAGGTGTCCAATTTCTGACTTCAATTCATCGAGATGCCTGAAATAGAATTATTCTCCGAACCACAATTATCTTTCTCAACACCATTAATTACCTTAACTTGTTTTAATATCATCATTATTTTTGATACATCGCTTTGCGTGAATTAGATTGACTTCAATTCTGATCATAAATTGACTCCAAACGGTAAAAACCACCGAAATCTAGGGAGTACTAGACAGCTGTTTCGTCCTTGCTTACTATTCTTCATCAGTAATAACAAAAGGAGTTCGCATACCATTCAACCAGTGGGACAGAATCCGGTGGTCCACCAAACTCTGATTGAAATTGAAATCAATCAAGTCCCAACATTTCAAAATTTATCAAGTGTACCCTGGTGACTGACTATAGGATAAAGTTGCTTGAAGCTTTGATGGGAATTCCGAATCAGTATGGTTCAAGTTGGGTGTGATGGTAGTCACTCGACAACGGTATTGCCTGGCAGTTGAGCTATATGTCGCAAAATGGACAAAGTTATAATTCATGAGCTCCCTAGTGGAGCCTATCCCAGTGGCTTATTGGTATAAAAAATTGCCCTGTAACTTGTAAGTCCTGCGTTCGTTCTGTGGTGGCGTCATGGATGCGTACAGCTGGAGAGTCTCAAACAGTAACGAGGCAGCTGTCCAGTACTCTCGTGTTTTCAATAATTCTCTGACTGAATTTAAACCTTGATCAGAACTAAAATTATTATTAATATCATTTAGTTTGCAATTCTTAACATTTTCAAGTTCTTCCTCTGAAGACTAACTATTTCTTCCTGATGATGATGCAACTACACTGTAATTCATAACAATCTCTGATGAACTGTTTTTCCGTATCTATCTGAACTTCATCTAAAAAAATATTTGCGTCTGTCTTTTTGCAAGAATAATTCATTGTAGTGTATTTACCAATCATTCATGCATCTGTACTGCACCTTGAATGTTTGAATTTTTGTTTTAATGCATCCATTTTACTATGGTGCCACACCATCTTGTTTTTTCCGGTCTGACTGTACACTCGTGGTTCGCTTCCTTGTTGTGCTATCGGCCGGGCAACAGATAAGTTGTACAACATTCTTATTTATCAAAACTAATATATTATCTGTGTTAAAATACAACTCTAATCAGTACACACTACTCAGTGTCAAGCTATTTACTTTGCGTCCGTTAATCAGTACTTACCCGCTACATAGAGTACTGCTAAGGGTTTTAAGAGAAAAAGTCTTCAGTAGGTGCTGTTAGTTGACGTCTGACTTGAGCGTGACTAAAGTCTACAACTGGTGAGCCCGAGTTTCACCGTTTGCCTTATTTGTAGCTTTACGTGTCAATATTTCACGATGTATTTATAACAGTATATATATACATATGACAATGTATGTAGAGTACTCAGCAGTTGAAGAGTTCCCATTTACTCCTATTTTATTAACAATATTTGTTGCTTCTTCTAAATTAAGCGTATACTTTAATTCATAGTGAAAAAGATTCAGAAACTTTAGTCATTTAAAGTGTTTCACACACCTCACTATTTCTTTCACTTCTCGTATTATCAGACATTCACCAGGACAAGAACTCTATGAGCTCCATTATGGGTAAGATTTTATTTTGATAAATCACACAGTGTTGTACAGTAATATTAACTGACACTCTACCACAGTGCCCAAGTTTTATACTTATATCAATAACTCTATGAGCATTCCTTATATACTTCGCTCTGACATCAGCGTTGAAAATGTTATCTAGAAGGACGACGAAAACTTCACAGTTAAGTCATTTATCTCAAGGGAGATAACAATGTGGCGTTATCTACTGACAAGGTTTATCAGTAGTATATAAAGAGACATTCTTTGGCACAAAAATATAAAATAACTGAGAGATCGATTCGCCATCAAAGAGAGCTAATAAACCCGCACTGGTACAAAACATAAGGGACATGGATAGAAGAAAAAGAAACACAATACAAAGAGTAGAAGTTGCACAACACAGAAGATCTGGGCAAATGATTTTATATATACATATGTATATAATTACCGCTTCACTTATTTGGGAAGTTGCATCAGCCCCAGCGGGTTGCTTGCTGATGTAATCTCAGCATGGATATAGAAGGCTCGTTTGGCATTTATTAGTTGACTCACGGCATCTCTGGTGTAAAAACGTGATATCCGACTGGCTATCGACCAAAGCACGTGTTTATTGCTCAGCAGTTCGCTTCATCCTCCTTTATGTCTATGAGCAAGACATGGCCATTGGAGGTGGAAGACATGAAAAGCCTGGCTAGCTGTCTTTGATCCTAGGTGCCTGCGTTCAATCTCCCGTTTTAGGTGATATAATAGGGTGAGCAATATTGAGGTTAGGCATGAGTCAATTGCTAGATAAGGAGGAGAATCAAAAGACGAGGATGTAAAGTTACATCGATTGCTTAAGATGGTTAAGACATGTGTTGCGCATGCTTAGCCTAGCCATCGCCTTCCTTGACGGGTAATGTTAGTTGGCATGAGATGGAACAGGTTATAAAAGAGCTAGAGAGTGGTAGTCAAACAAAAACATAGCTTCATCAGTCAATAAAATCCGCAACAGTTAGTTTGAGCCAGCCACGTTGAAAGGTGTAGACTTCCTGACTGGTTGGGGTCCTCGGAATGGTAAAAACTAATGAAGGCTGTAGATAATCGGTGATATGGCTCAAAATCCTCGTTCTCAATGGCTGGCGTAGGTGCATCCACTCCTTGTGACATATTATATCCAATAAAAGCATATAGTTCTTCGATATTACTATTCTTTTTGCCTCATATCTCCGTTTACTGTCTCTTTTATGCATTTCTTTTTACTTTCTTCTCTTGTTTTGTGGGCTAAGTGAAGTGTGGCGACTCGAACTACTGCACATCTCTGCAAAGTTCTACGATAAAACCAGTCAGTCAGTCAGTTATATATATATATATACATAATTTCCTTGTATGTGTATATCAAATTGCAACTGTGATATACTTCCCCTTTGTCCCGAAGAGATGCTCACTGTTAGTTTGAAAGTCAATTCAAAATGCGTGTGAGTACATCTTATAAATCAAGGATGTAATTGAATGATGAAAGCAGTAAGAATTAAGGAAAATACGATGTATTGTGTTGTATAAAAATCCAAAAAGGCCGAGGAATTTAAGCAGGCTGCTATAGCAGCACAAATGTTTTCAGGAAAATTTTTTTAAAAAACGCTTTTTTAGGAGACAAAACAGCAAACTTACTGTTTCTTGAAGAATAATCTGGTCTTGGTATTAAAATAATCTTTTGATATAAATTACAAAATGGTCGTACATCTGCTTCAAATGGAGCTGATGAACACCCGATCAGTAGGACACGATCACTTGGTGTTAAAAGTTTCATTGCTTTTGGTAATTCTTTTTTCAGACGTTTTGGATCAGACTAAAACGATGAAGAGATGCATACAATAGACAAAGTAAGGCGGAAGACAAGAGAATGGTAAACTGTGGAATATGACCAACAAGTTGGCTGAGACGTTAAGCTGTTTAAGATGTATCATACACAGTAGAACAAAACAGTATTATTATTTGCTGGATTATAAGGTTTCGAACATAGTTTATTCCTAATTTAATTCACTTTTGGATTTTCCCATCGATTTATTCAACTGAAGTGCTCGGTTTCAGGTTGATATGTCAGCTTCTTGTGCAGATGCTTCAACGATGTCTGGGCAAGTAATTAGAAGTTAATTGGTGGATGGTCTCGAGGCCCAAGTGATCTTGCAGATAATGCTTTGGTGTTTGAAACTGTAGACGCTGCGTGGGAAAGTCATCACTCACTGCAGAATACAGGTACATCCAGCTGACGAGTCCCAAACAGGTCTAAATGTGCATCCTGGGTTGCACTGCTAGACACCATCCACCAATTAACTTATGATGGTTTTTTCATGTTCATAATCATATCATCAGTTGTGACTTTACAAACAGCTTCAAAACTCGATTTCCATGGTATCCTTTATGCGGATTAATTTCCAATTTACACTTTTCGAGGTGATTAAATCCCCAAGGTTTCCTTTGGAAGCCAAAATCACTGAGATTACAATATGTGATCTGCTTGATACCAATCAAGGTAATCATAAATATATACTACTGATTGATTGGGATGGATAGTAGTCGCATACTACTTAAATCAACCAGAGTGTAGTGCTTGCTGACGAGATTATCAAAGTGGTCAAAACATCGTACAGCTGTTTCGCTTACATCAGGCCGGACTCGTCAGTGATGTATCCGGTGTGACTCAGCCTCACAGTGATGAATCAGTTCAAACTAGTGCACAGAAGGTTATTCTGACCATAATTTTAAAATGAATGGCGAGAATTTCAAGGAAGGGTAATAGACATTCAATAAACTCTTAGTTTGTAAGGATTTCAATCAATATATATATAAGGTTTACATCACGCAAGAACAACCAGGGAAACATCACTATGGTTATTTCATCCTAGTTGGTACTATTCAGCTGAATGAACTCACATCTCAACTGCGAAGAATCAAGTCCAAGATTTTCAAGTTACGAGACCAACACGTTGAGATGCAGCTACTGTGTAGCAACCCAGTAGTTGATGAATTCTAATCCCTGCCAATTCAAGATATATTGCACTATCTGCAGCTAATCTCATCAGGAGGTATGCGGATCTACACTAAGCCTAGTGGACCTTGCGAGTTACAATTCCTGAATAAAACTTCAGGAAGTTTATCCCCCTGAACTTCGGCTCAGTAGCCAAACGTTAACGTGTTGTACCTTCCATTTGAATGAAATGATTCAGAAGACACCACCTTTATCAACTGCTTTGTATCAACAGTCTGTAAATGAAGAACAATTAAATTTCAACTGTCCACTATAGAAATTTTTGAGACGCATTACATTCAGTCTAATCGTGTGTTAATGCAACACCTGGATGAAATCCTTTATGGCCATGGCAAAAAAAAGTTTTACCTCAGTTGGTTTTCAATATAAAACCATTAGTTTGTAATTCACTCTCCTGACTGGCTGAGTTTTAACATAGAAATCTGAACATGAGTTAATCAGTTCAAGTTGCTGCATTCAATGTAGCACACAAAAGTTAAAAGGCTTTAATGATCAGAAAGGTACAAGAGAAAGAATAGTAACATCTAAAAACATGAAGATTTAATAGATCCGGGAGATCACAAATAGTGAGTACATCTGGTCGTTTGCGAACGACTTCTATCCATATCATGAAATGTCACAAGCAGCTGATTCATTAGATTTTTGAGGACCTCATCCAGGTAATGTTGACCTCTCTACATGGCAGGCTCAAACTAAAAGTCAAGGACTTCATGGAGTCTAACTCCAAAATATCCTTTCTTGACGTTCAGCTAACAAGACGGAATACTGAAAAGATCTATCAACAGAAAGTCAACGTGGAACGGGCAGCTTGTTATATACATCAAATGAAACCTGATCCATTCATTCAGATACAGAGTTCGCAGAATCTGCACCCCTGATACTAAGAAAGACGAACTGGACAATCTAAAGAGAATTCTCATCGGGCATTGTTACTTAGAACGATTTATTGCAAAATCCATGAATCCTAGACCGCAAAAGCCGCTCACGCTTAGCGCCTCGAAGAAACTGCGCTACATGAACCTTCAATTCAGTGGTGATTCACCTGAGAAAACACTGAAGAATCGACTGTCCTGTTTACTTAGGAAAGCCTTCTTAGTAGCTGAACTACGACTAACCTTCGCCACGAAACCTATGATTCGTATGTACGTAAAGGATAAGCTACCACTGGTGACCTCGTCAATGTGTATCTACCAATTCACCTGCTCATGTGGAGTCAGGTATGTCGGCCATACCCAGAGTTCGCTTTCCAAACGTATCACTGAACACTTACCAGAATGGTTTTACAAAGGAGAAACGCAATGGCCCAGCAGCTCTATCTTGAAACATCTGATAGGTTCCGGACACCAAGCTGCACCCTATACAAAATTCAAGGTCGTCTACATAATATGAAACATTCTTCCTAAAAGTGTACGAATCAAACTTCTTCAAACTTCAGAAGCAATGGAAATTTACTTGCTAAGTCCTGAACTTTACATACAGAAGAAGTTCGTCAATCACTACACTTGCAATGGATGTAGCCTATCCTATTACCCGAAGGGTAAATTCTATTTCTTTTTGTCTTTTCATCAGTATTATTTTGTCCTTTCGAGTATGATATTTTACATTTTCAACTTTCCTGTTCTCTACCCCTACCCGATTTGATTTCTACACTTCATTACCACTGCTACTGACTTGACCAACGCTCAATTTCTAGTCATTTATGTTACGTCATCCAACTTATCTGCTCAATTTCAGTTCTAATTTAAATGGCATTATTCTCCACCTGTGATTACCTCTATTTCTATCCTGACGTAAGTTGAAATATTTCAGTCAATAATATTACGTCATCTAACTTATTAACTCAGTCCTACTTTACCTGCTATCTAATTAACCTTGTTTCTAAATTAGTTCATTCTTGTGTTACCTAATTAATTATCTAAACTTGACAAACCTCATATACACACACACAAATAATTGTATATAAATGCGATTGTACAGCTATGTGAATGAATTCGCCGAAATCAGTCTCTTCGCAGAACTTCTTCTCTTTTTCATATGACGTCATGGATGACGATAGGTTCTGAATTGAACATATTTTACTCTTTTCCGACCCAACCCGATGTCCGTTAATATTGTTCGCCATCCTAATCGTCTCAATCGATGTAGTCTCATAACTTAATGGAATAATATACGTTCCTCACCAAACACTCGATGCCCAACTTAAATATTTCTCACCATATTACGCCATTTAACACGGAAGATAGAGCGCAAACATCTGTAGTCAAAGACGCCTAGCTTTCTCATGTCTTCCACTTTCAGTAGTCATACCCTATAACCATAAATAATTCAATACCACTAACAAGCAAATAAAAGCCACATCAGCCACATCAACTTACTAGATCAGTTTTAGGTAGTTTCTTTTTAAACATTTTTCACAATCATTTATCAGAATCACGGTTGGTTGAAGTAATCGTCCAACTTTAAAGACAAGATGTATCAACATCTTTAGACCATCTTTACCAGGATATTTATCAATAATATTTTCAGCGGATAAGTCAATTAAATTAGCTCCAGTTTCAGTGCATATAATATTGACTAGTGTACGTTTCCCTGTTCCACTTGGTCCAGCTAATAGCAAAGATTTTATCCATGGTGCTTTTTCATGAACAGTTTGTGAACCTGTAAATAAATATTGGAGTAAAACAACAGGCAAATTTGAGCATTACAAGTGACTGTATTAGTCACACATTAAATTCTCAAAAGGTATATCAAGCAACGGCTTACCAACTTTGGGATTTTGTAGGTATCAGAATAGCTTTAATTTAGGAATGAATGATAAAGAAGACTTTGTTTCTCAGTTGTATGACGTATTGATGTGTGTGTGTGTTCCTTTAAGCTGAATAGTTTGACTGAGGAGCTTTTACTGATGTCTGGATAACATTTTGAAGGCTTCATATTAATTCCATATTGAAGTCGCCACTGAAGATGTTTTCGACAAAGACAATAAATGTTCTGCTACTAAACAGTCCATCTCAGGGAACACAACTACACCAGTAACACGTGTCAGTTCTTGAAATCTTGTCCTACTCGCGTCTCCACTTCAAAGTACAGCTGAGCTTCCCACTGTAAATTATTTGGTATGTAGCATTCTCGTACAACTATTGAATGAGGTTGATAAACGTTTACGGTATCCCATGGTGTTGAATCAGTTTCCAAATTACTTCATGGTCGACGCTATCAAAGGCGTTTTCAAAGTTGATGACATTTAGATAGATAGCTGTGCTTTTTTCATTATGATGCGACCTAATATTTTTCTTGGAGTGGACAGAACCATGATTCAGTGCCAGTTCTGGCGAAGGTTTAAGTCGCCAATCGATAAATACCATTCCTTCCGTTCAAACTTTGTGTAATAGTGGCGTGAGCATATACGCTGAGTTCTCTGTGTTAGCTCTCGGGCTACCTATTATCGCCGATGATGTTCCTGATTGTGTTGGACAGAATCATGTGGTAGACTGTGGGGAGCCGTAAGACATGTACACGTGCAACCGACAGGAAGACTTTAGTAGATCTGGAGTTCGTGGGTGATTTATGTCCAAAATACATAAAGTCGAAGACCTACAGGTGAAAACCAGCAAGTTGGAAGAAGCAGCATCAAAGACGGGACTTCAAGTGAGAGTAGGGTAGACAGAGGTGATCAAGACATCCAGACAGGATATTTTCCACTCAGAACCAGATGGAATAATCATTTAGGTTATTTTGTGTTCCTTATTAAATGATTGTCTGCTTCAGGTGATGTACTGACTCCTATTATGGACGTTTGGACACTATCTTCAGATGCACATGGTGTTACTAGGTAAGTGGCGGTTAATAGCTGAATCGTCGTGCGTCAGCTGTATCTGCATCCCCAGTGAAGGATGGTGTTTTCAATGGGATTTCAACCCAAAACCAATCAACCTGAAATTCAAAATAACCGCAACTGATACCTGTAACACAAGAGGTGACTTTTTCAACCTGGCGGTCGAGTAGGTAACGCTTCGCCACTTGAAACGTTTGGTGCTGGGTTTGACCTCAATAAGAACATCTCTTATTTGAAATTTAGGTACTTTCAGCCAAGGAGTTCAAGATAGGCGAAACATTTGTATGGTCTTGGGGAGTTTAGGAATGTGTTGGTCAGGAATCAAACCTTGAACTATATGCACGATTGGCGAGTATTCTTCCAACGAATTACTGATGCACACAACGACCTAAAAGAGGCTCTGACCTTCAGAATATCACTAGTATGTCATGATGTCATTACACCTTTAATTATCTTGACAAATGCGTTGCAAAACAAAAAATGCAATATTTGCAGAAGAGGACAGCTCGCATTTCACCTAGAAGTTAAACATTTTCATAAAATAGCTCAACGATATACCAGAAACCATCGGTTTAAAATGTTTCTACTGTAGCTTTAGGAATAAGAATCGCCACTTTCATCACTGCGTGTATGTGTACATTATTATTGTTAGTATTACTTCCTTGCCTGCCAAATGGAACATAGTAGTTCAACAAGTCACCACTATTTAACTCTATTCTTTGAAGTCTACTTCACCTGGCTGCACGATTGCCCATGGGTTTGCGTTTCTTCCTCATACAATTTCCACCATGTTACCGTGAGAGAAAAGCATGATTCGTCGTTTCCTATTCAGTTACCACTGGAGGGTCTGTCTAGGGCTTGATGTCACTCAACAATCTCCTCAGAGTACCTCTAATCCATCTCCATTTACACCTGCATATTTTAACTGAGCAGTGGGCAGTTGCTTAGTTGGTTGTCACAGTTTATTGTTGTTTATACCTTCTACCTGTCATTTTGATCTTCGTATGGGAGCACCAGTCATTTTTAAGGACTGTACTTATGTACTGAGTCAAGTAGTTCTGTCTCCAAACATTACAGATTGACAGTGTCCAGTGTCTTACTAAATTGTTGAGAGATACTTTAAGGCTTGGTAACCTAATTAATGCTAGTTCTATGTTTTTGAATAACCTGAGAAAACTAAAATTGTAATCACCTTTATTTTAGAGGTTTTGTAGTTGAAATTTATCGAATTCTGTATGGATTTGATTTTTGGGAGAGATGCAGTGAGATAAGTGTCAGAAGTATTAGTCATATGAATCACTGAGGCTAAAGTTCAAGTGTATTAAACAAAAACGCTAAACGCCATCGATTAGAAACATCCAAAGGAAATCTTCCCTTTCACATACCTGAACTGAACAGCATCCTTTCAAATACAGCCGGCACAGGTGGGGATGTCAAAGCTAGCCTAAATCTGGTCAGGAAAGAAAGCCAGGCATTCATTACAATAATATTAGTATGGTGTGGAGATAGACATAGACTTCAGAGTTGTGACACACGCTTCACTGGAAGCATTTCCAATAGGTTGCTGCATACTTTCACATCAACACCTGTCTTCGCTGGTTCACTACTCAAGATCAGACAGCTAACAAGAAAGGATAAGTAACGAGGAGCTCTCCCAAGCAGAGAACCAGTCAACAACCTATTGTCTAACCAACAAATATATACAAGGAGATGGAGGAGGAGGACTGGACATCGCACGTCAGGCACTCCCTCAAGGGGAACCAGAGCAGGAAGTGATGGGTTTCGCGTTCCGGAATGACATGGAGGAGACCATGTGATAAAGGAGAAATGAAAGATTGTTGGCAGTCATGGAACTAGTTGAAAGTGATCAAAAAGAACCGAATGGACTGCATAACTGCTGCTGAGGCTCTGTTCTCCACTCGGAGCTCAGAGTAGGGATACAAATAACAACAAATCACGTGATCCATCAACAGAAAAGTAATCTAAATTTCCATTCAAATGTTAATTTTCATACATATACAAAGGAAAATAACGAACTAACTTACCTAACGGTAGTATGGCATATTCAGTGACTAACCGGCGTACATCACTTAACGATGGTTGAGGTTCAATATTAGCTTGTCTTAATGTTGTGCCTAAATAAGAATATTCCCCGTAGTATTCACTCATTGAACATTTTTCAACTTTTTTAATGATTCCAGCTAATGCTAATTCTTCATAGAGGGAAATAAGTGTTCTATAGAAAGAGGATACATTTTATAGACAAATAAGTAGACGGTAGATCATCACCCATATTACATGTGTAACAACAGAAAATAAGGGCCAGGCAACAGATCGTTTATTGAGGAAATCAACACGTATTCGTATGTTTTCGTATACATTATTATAGATTATTTAAGCAAACAAACACAGTCTGCTGATTGGTTGTTTCTCACTGAAATGTAATCTTTCATCTCTTTATGGTTGTTTCTTGAATGTCAGATCATCTGTATGCTAACTGTATCCGCCTACGCAAAATTAGTCTTTGTTCATATTTTCTCACGACCAATATTGAGGACGTAAACATTGACGTAAAATACTGTCTACCAATTTTGGCTAGTAGCCAGCTCTCACCACACAGGAATAACAAACAGTCTATCAATTTAAACTGCCATCGGTCAACAGCCTACTCCTCCTCTCTTAATTCAGCATGACTAGTACTGAGTATGACAGGACAAAGCGACTGCTATTAGCGATAAACGAAATGTAACCTACGATTTATTCATTCACATGGCGGTTGGGCACGAATCATGGTGATTACAGTGAAACAATAACTATCGGGTTAGCTTTTCGAACTCGTGAATCAGCTGACAGACCTCTGAACTTCATTGCATTCCTAGTAAATACATAAGGCTTCCAGCTTGAAATATGAAGTTTCACTATAGGTAATGTTGTTTTTATAGGGGGGTAGATTGCTAACATTATGCCCAACGCTTCCTCTTTTCCGGGTTTTACAACCAGTTAAGCGATGTCTAGGAATACGTCTGCGAGGAATTGAACTTGGACCACATAAAGCGTGATTGTTTACCATTCTAGCACTAAACTACTGATGCCTAATCCGTTAACAGAGCGGAATTTCATTCCATGCACCCTAAGGTTAAGCTACCAGGAGGTTTCCACAGCTGGACTAGTAATACAGTTTTATTTGATTGCTTATTATTTGGAATAAAAGTACCACCATATTACACAGGAGTATCTTCTGTTCCCCACAACAGTTATAGAATGTACACATTAAAATTATGAAGGCTACAAACGTCAAACCACATTTACTAGTGTGTCATTGATCACAGACTGGGCGATACTAAAGGTAAATGAAAGCGTCTGGATGAAGAAGACGAGTAACTTGATTACGTTAATGACACTCAACCGTAATTAGTGTGATATTCAACTGGATGTAAGTAATATTGCAGCATGTACTGCTTATAACTGTATAAATAGGTGGCAATAAATGGTGGGAAGCGATCGTTAGGAAGCCCTTTGGACCTAGACTTTGCGTTTGTGCGCACTCGTTAGCAAGGCGTATCTGAATGACATTGGAGACTACTTACTGAGTAATCAAATTATCCCTTACACTTCTACTGGAGGTCAATCATGAGTCTGAATAACTTAGCGGTAACGTCTCTGCCTGTAACATTGGGTAACCTGGGTTTGGATTTCAGACGGGACATGAATTCCTTCAAGGATGCACATACACCTCACTGATGATCGCCAACGTAAATGAAGCCTAGGTCCAAGGCTTCATAATGACCGCCTCGAACCATCTAACGGCAGTTCATACTGTTCTCTGATGGTAAGTCACCTAGATTGTTAGCCACACTGCAAAACTTGACTGATAGAATTTAATATTCATCAAAACCACAGACCAGACGCGTGATATTGGTTATACCTAGTGCCCAATCAAAGCATATATAAGTAGTATATATAGTAATAAGTAGTAATATTTTGTGTAAGATTTAGTCAAGAGTGTAATATTGACGAGAAGTAAATTAGCACCATGAGGAAAGAACAACGCATCCCTACTACAGATGATCGGCAGGAGGCTCTGAACCTAGGTTTCCTGCCTACTAGCACCCATAAGTAAGGTGTATGTTTCTACAGGAATGAATTCCCGTCGGAGATTCAGACATGCATCACTTAGCATTACAGTCAAAAACGTCATCATTCAGCTATTATTCTAGCTGACAACTAACCACTTGTACTACCACAATGGTCAATAGCAAGAATTTTGACTGGGGGACAGACAGCGCCTTGTGTTTAGTCCTCTATGTTAGAGATGACCAAATCCCATCATTCAACGAACCAGATGACTTGCTATCAATCAGTACTGACATTAAGAACTAAATAAATGACAGGGATTACACTTTCTCCTGAATAACACATGCATACCCCGTTGTGTTTCGTTAGACTGTGCGAAATAATCGCCCTTTGAATAAACTAGTTTAACGTTCTCCAAAAATTTGGCTAAGAATGCTTGCAGGTTAAATCATAGGTTAACATCACTTAGAGAACCACTGAAAACTAGTACTGAGTACTGGACACCCCTTTTGTCCTAGTTTGCTACTCTTCATCAGTACTCACACATCACCCCACCCAAAGTTCATACTTTCAGTTCGGGGATGAGGACGAGTACTCGCCAATGACATTGGCTAGTGGTGACACTGTAAATCGCCAAATGATAGTGGTTAGAATTCAAGAACTGGTCATTGAATTGCGCCCCAGTGGCAGAATGCTTGTCAAAGTCTCCTTGTAACCTGAAGGTCCTAGGTTCGATCTCTAGAGGTGGGTTGTTGGTTTTGTTCTACTGAAAAACAGCAAACTAGGATAAAAAAAAGCTCTCCTTTATTCTCTACTGGTTTCCGATATTTCTCTAACTGAAATTAATTTAGGATCTAACCAGAAACCAGTCAAATTCCTGCAGACTAACTTTTAAGAAGATGTCTTCACAGAAGTCTGAATACTAGCCCTTTCAGACCCAAAGTATAAGATCATGATCAATACAGACTAACAGTGTGAGGTGAGTTGTTAAGCTGTAAGATATTGAATCGAACTTAAATGCAGATACGATGACCTATAGTGGAACTCTACCAGTCACTAATCAATAACACCCATTATGTCACTACATACAGTAATTTATGGTCACTCTGATTAAAGAAGTTTTTAACACCTTACTTATCTGATATGACCGTGAATACACTAGGTAGCTGGTGCCAACGAAATGCTTACCTAGTCTATTTGCAAGCCTACTCTTCTAATTACTATCAACAGCAACAACGACATGAAACGGTACGATACCCCAAAAAACGTGATGCAAGAAGATAAGTAGACAAATCGTTGACAAGGAGAGCTTCTACTGTCTCGAATCAACAGCAAAAGGGTTGACAGCAATCGCGTATATATATATATATGTGCTTTAAATGGTCTTCTCAGACACTTATTACATTGATAAGTTAAAGCAATCAACAGCCAATTGGGTTTCAAGGTCATAAGTTTGTGGGAAATTCAAACAGCACTGTAAAGATAAATGTAGTATTTTAGAAAAATTAGGTTCAAATAACATTTTCTCACCTATCTGGTGTGATATCTTTATCTCGTCTTCTTTTGCCTTTTTTACTTTTTCTACCCTTTTTTGACCTTTTCTTAGTCACTCGTTTGACACGTTCTTTATCAATTGCCATTTTTAAATTTCTTAATTCTTCACGAAGTAATTCATCAACCTGTCATGATATTGAAAAATGTAAATTAGTAGATACTTCGTATGTCAGTAACTTGTGCAAACATCTGTGTAGATTGACAGTCAGGATTGAAATGGTTGAGTTATTTGCCTGTTCTACATATTTTCATGAAGAAAAATAAGAGTATGACGTTATATACTACTGATTGACGGGCTCATATGAGTAGTTGAACACCACTCACATCATGCAGCATCAATAATGTTTGCCAAGCAAGATTACTGAAGTGGTGTAACCTCCACCGAACGATCATTTCACTCATTTGGAGCCGAGTACATCAGCAGTACACCCAGTTAGACTTAGCTCAGAACGGAGAAGCAGTACAGCCGCCAACCCACACACTTGGATTCTGACCAGCTACTTAAGAGAATTACGAACTTGATTCGAAGAAATCTAGTTTTACTGATCCTGCCATAATAAGTACATTTTTACTACTTTGTTTAAAATTATTGTTATTATTCCAATGGATTCCTAGTGAAATATGGGACTTCAAGAGCACACCTGTGTTTCATCCTGTTCTCCGTATCCTATTTAGCTGGCTCCACAACTGTACACAAGCTTTCATTTCCTCCTCACACGATCTCTGTCATGTCACCCTTAGACAGTCAACTCGTCGTTTCCTTTTCGGTCGGTACACGATAGCCTGGTTCTCAATGTCACCCAACGGTCTGCTTAGCGAACATCCAATCCATTCCCTTCGACATGTTTAATATGCCATAAGTTCTTCGTTCGTTTGTCACGACTCCTTTATTGCTTACTCCTCATAGTGCACCATCTGATCTTCAGTATCGAATGAAGGCGACTGTTGATAAAGTCTTCAGCTGCCTGTTGGAAATACACTTAGTGACCCGTCAAGTCTCTGAATTGTGTAGAAAAACTAATTGACTTTACATAGTGTTCAAAACCTGAATCTTTTTCCATCGACACACTAATTTAAGATTATCGAAGGTCTCTCTTGCTTTACTTATCCTGATATTGACATCCCCGTCTACGCGGTGCGAAGCTGAAATATTGCCTCCTAGATAGATGGAAGAAGTGAGTTCCTTTAAATTTCTCCACTGATGGATAATTAGTATATTTAGTCGCCAGTTGAAGTTAATTTTTATAATATCATTTCATACAACTTAATCTATTTTTGTATGTTCATTGATACACCTGATCTGAATATTTGACCTACAGTTTTAATCAGTTCGAATCATCAGTACTCTTTCTTAACTCCTACGTTGGATTCTTGACCGACGAACTCCTTTACTAGCCTATATCAAGTCCGGAAGAGAGGCAAGGTTGAGGGTTAACCTAACAACCCTACCCCCAGAAGAATCATTGCTATCAAAGCTTGAACCTAAAAACGTGAAGCCTTCAGTCCCAACTTCCATTGCCAAATGTAGAATACACTTGTAAGCTTCTCATGTTTATACTAACAAGCTTACTAACACATGTAGTTCTTTCTTATGTTTGTGCTCAATAAAGGAACACTAATAGTTGCTGTCTTCTGACTGACTAATACGCAAATTATGTAAATATTTCGCATTTTGACACTGAAAATGTTTAAGCTATCATGAAGCTGACAAAATCCAGTCAGCGGACGTGTAAATTGCTTTTAGGTGGTACTTAAATGTCATGCTAACTACCTGAAGTCGTATTTCCGCCTCCACTTCAGCACGTTTTTCTTCCTTGATAATTTCTTCATCATGATGTTGTTGAAAGTTATCTGATTCATCTCGATTCTTCCATAATGCTAAAGAAAATACAGAACAGTCGAATTTGATTCAGCAGAATTTAGGCAATTACACAATACTGAAGAAGTAAAAGCAGCTTAAAATTAATTCAAGTATGAATAATCACGAAATCTACGCATTTATTCATAAGGATAAACACAGTTTTTTTGTTCAGCAAAGAAATGTATTTCTTTCCAACGATTTCATTTTCAGATAGCTATACAGTCGTATACTTATATTACACGCATTAAGTGGCATAGGCAATACACTACTGATTGATTTTAGTAGTATGGAACTCCTCATGTCAATCAGTCAATCAGTAGTATATAGTTTTATGAAAATATGCTTGGTGTCTTGATTGCCGTTTATGCTATCAAGTCTAGATCACAATATTTGAACTGAATAACTTGGTTTCCAATAGGAAACCACCATAGTGAAATTTCATCACTCGAACTGTATAGATGGCAAACTGTCAATTTTATTTATACACACACACATTAGCTGAAGGATAAACTTCGATTGAATACTAGTCAGCAACTAGTGGAGTGTGTCTAGTTCTCCTACCTTTGGTATAGACTGAATTCTATCAATCAAGTTTTCAATGTGGCCACAATGCCACTAGATGGCTCGCCATCACGGTGTACATTGATTTGATGATGTTACATGGTTGGAGGTATTTGGCAAGAAGCCCTGTAAAGACCCAGGTTTCGTGCTAGTTGACACCCATCAGTCAACAAGGCGTACCTTCAACCTTGAAGAAACTCATGTACGTTATCACTGGCCCATTCAGGTTCGCTATCGACCTCCAGTAGGACTGCTGTACTGGATAATTTGATTGGACACTAGTAATTAATGGGATGTGTCAAGTCATTTGTTTGGTGCAGACTGAATTCTATCAGTCAGTCAGGTTTGCAATGTGGCCACCAGGTCACTAGGTGGCTGGCCGTCACGGTGCACATTGATTTGATGATATTAGATGGTTGGAGGCAATCGGCAGGAAGCCTTGACCGATACAGTTCAATCTGCACCAAAGAAAGGACTAGACACATCATACTAGTTACTAGTGTCCAGTCAAAATGCCCACTACAGTCCTACAGGAGATCAATCGCAAGCCCGAATGGCTCAGTGGTAACGTCTCTGAATGAAGTAGTGGGTGACACAAGTTCGAATCTCTTCAGAAGGGACATGAGTTCTTTCAAGGTTGCAAATACGCCCTGCTGACTGGTGAGTGCCAACTAGCACGAAACCTGGGTCTTTGCAGGGCTTTTCGCCAACTGTCTACAACTATCTAATATTAATTATCTATATTGTTATCATGAGTATATGGAGCAATTTTCAGTGTCACTTAATAACTTTTCCGTAATTTATAAAAACGACTGTAAAAATTAAAAATGAAGTCGTTGAAGTCTTGGCTGAACAGAACCTGTGTTTCTCCTTATTAACAACAAACAGAAAAATGCTTGATGAATGACTTGACAGTTCTGAACATCATGCCATATATTAGTGTGGGTCAGTGAGTGGGTACTGCTGAAATAGGATGGCACAGCAGTCTAGTCTAGTCTACTGATATCAGCCGAAATATCCATGAAAATCAAAGTACACTAAATAATTATGACGGAGAAGTCCCTTTCAAGTCAGTAAAAAGACTCCATACAACTACAAGTAGTTTAGAGGTGGAGGGAACACCAGAAGTTCAATATTACCAAGAGAGATGATTCACAAACTCATGAAGAACTCTAAAACGTCACTTCAAATTGAAGGATGCTCTGAAGATGTTGTCTAGAAGGACAGCGAAAGCTTAACAACCAAACGATCCAGCTCAAAGAAAACAACCACATTTGTAATAATTAAAAAAAATGTGATTTGAAATACACCCATAAATTAATAAACAACATATTTAAAGATATCAAATTCACCACGAGAGAAGAAGAATTAGATAACAAAATCCCATTTTTAGACGTCGTAATCAGGAGAACTAACACAGGAAATTTAGAAACATAAGTATATAGAAATTCAACGCACACAGACCAAATACTCAACTATAGTAGTAATAACCCACAAAAGAAACTGCTTGCAGACATTGTTTAAAAAAAGAGTTCAAACACACTGTAGCACTCCAGTGTTGAAGAGAATGGAAAAAAATGCCTACTAATCGTCTTCAAAAAGAATACGTATCCTCATAACTTCATCAAAAAGTGTTTCAAATCAAGTCACAACACCAACAAGAAACCATCATCAAAAACTACAAAAAACTTCATCCTACCATATGTAAAAAATATCTCTGAAAAATAACAGCTAGAATATTAAAAGCCTTTTTAAACAGATAAAGCACACAAGCCAGCGAGCCAGCCAGCCCAATCACTTCAATCGATATTGTGCTTTCACACCACCACCACCCCCCACCCTTCGAAGAGATAAGAGGCAAAAGTTGATAATAAAGGGAATGTTCAGTAACAGATAAGATAACTTTAGCCAAATGCCTGAAGGAAATGAAATGCCTATTGACAATAATTTCAGTTAGGTGAGTCAGGGGCACACCATTAACCCTACTTAAAGCCTTCAGTGTTCTGCATGATATCATATAGTCTTTTCTGAGAAGTCCAGAGGAGAATAATTGCGGGGCGGGGGGGAACAATAAAGAAGAACGGGAAGAAGACATGGATTAACAAATTGTGAGAGAAGAGGTTGAGTTACGATGCCAGAAATTCTCAACTTCTTTGTGTAATTAGTCAAACAGAAAATTTTCTTAGAAATCAACGAGATATGAGACAACCAACAGAAATTTGAAGAGATGATGCCGAGATGAGAGAGATTCGGTTTACTCCCCATCATAGTGCCGTCAATATTACAGGAATCATGCGACTGAATCAGTCACTCCACGCAAGTCTTGTTCGCATCTGAAACTAAAATCAACAAACAGCATGACATTTAGATGGATTTAGTTGAATAACATTTAGGTGAGACAATTTGTTAACTTCAGATCAGAATCTGTTCATATAAGAACAATCCAAAGTATAAACTACTAGGAAATAAACGGTTAGATCATCGAAATATTAAATAAAGTTACCTTTACAAGAATATGCAAGGTCATGAAAAAAGAAAGAAAAAAAGGCGTGCACAGAGTACAGCACTTTTAGGCAGGCACACCAGTTTCCGTTAGCAGTGAAGTGGAACGCTTTTCATTCAAAACAGTACATTGTTTTCTACCCGAAAAATAATAAGATAGCCACCTTGTGACCCAGGACTTAGTGTTTGCTAAAATCAACCTGCTTAGTAAAAGTGGCCTACGAACATGGAGTCAAAAGTGGCAGTGTAGTCTAAAAATGAAGGCTCGAAGAAACTTTGCACCTTTATCAAGATTTAAAATAATATTGTGGTGGAGTATAACAATAGTGTCCAATGATGCTTCTACTGCATGGACTATCTGCTGGAAGTTTGGTGCGTGATTCTTGCTGACAGAATTTTTATCCTATCTTTTTAGGGATATTCCAATTAATTCTCAGTACTTAATTTGTACACAAGAACTATCTGGTCTGTATAGCTTCTTAATGACATTGTTGAGGTAACTTTGGGTTTTTGATATGTTATTACTGTCAGTTAATATTCATGATTTCATCTCAGTCAATCTGGGAACTTCTGCATGTGGGAAGACTTGGAGCGGGGTGAAAAAGTTGGCAGAAAACCGAACGCATTGGAGACGTGCGGCTGAAGCCCTATGTTTCTCTAGGAATTAAAGGATATAATAATAATAATAATAATAATAATAATAATAGCTAAACAGTAGAAGGTGAAGATTGTTTCCCGGCATTCAGACCACACAGCGTCAGTTTTAGTCTCTATAGAAACTGTTCCTAATACTATTAATAATAACAGTAATAATACCTGGAATGAACTATACCAAAATTAAGGTATTAGAAGAAGAGGGGAAATCAATCGATGAGGCTGTGAAATTACATCGACTGAGAAGGTTAGGAAATGTGTTACGTATGCACACCTAGTCATCGCCTTCTTCGACCGACGGGCAATGATAGCTGGCTGACATACGGTCAGGCTGGAAAAGAGCTAGCTAGTGGTGTTCAAACCAAAAACATGGCACCAGTCAATGAAATCCACAACAGTTAGTTTAGGCCAAACACGTAGGGAGATTTATAGTGCTGACTGGTTGGGATCCTCGGGACGGTAAAAACCAATGAAGGCTGGAGACAATCGGTGATATGGTTCAAAATCGTTGTCAATGGCTGGTGCAGATGCGTCCACTCCCTGTGACTTATAAATTCCAATGAAACTATATTGTTTAGATATGATAGTTTCCAGTGAATCATCAATCAATAGACACATCGAGATAGACAAAATTTATCAACCAACAAGAAAGAAACTTCACACACAAAGGATCAAAGTTCAAGTCACAGAAACAATCAGTTCCAACAAAAGTAACCTAGAAGGTGTGAAAACACAGATAAACAACCAATCACGTCCAAGGTCACCAGGAGGAATGATTAATAAACTCGTGGAGAAACCTAAAAGCTCACTTCAAATTGAAGTATGCGCTGAAGATGTCACCCAGTAGGGCGATGAAAGCTTCGCAAACTAACCATCCAGCTCAGAGAACAAAACCACATCAAAACTAAATTGTTCTTTGTTATTACTATTCCTTTGTCTCAAACCTCTGTTTACTGTCTTTATTACGCATTTCTTGTACTTTCTTCTCTTGCTTTGTGTGCTACAAGGAGGGTGTGTAGTGACTTGAACTGCCGCACATATGTGCAAAGTTCTATGTCGATAACAGACAGACAGACAGACAGATATTAGAAGAAGAACTAGGATGGAAATATATTTTCCTATTGAGTATAATGTGTAGTAATAAGCGATAGTCATACAATTCAACCTACCTTGATAGTTATGACAGCCTTCATGTAAATCCCCGAGAAATGCTGAAGGTGACATCTTAAAACCTTCTTGTTCATCCTAGATGAGTTTTATTCATCATATGAGGAGAAAAGAAGACAAACAATATCATGTGACAAATACTACTAATTTTAACAATAGTCATATCAAGAGTATTCAACTAGGGGAGAATATTTCTAGACGAGAATTATCCTCCAAATTCATGTCTTTTAGGTGAAATGACTTCATGCCACTATCTAATTAATGTAGTTTTTTATTGTGATTTGTGCAATGTCACTGTCAAGTCATCTTCTCAAAGGGGTATTAATTCAGAAAAGACTTACAATGCTTAAACGTAGTATTGGTAATAATTTATTACTATGATTGGAGCGGATTCAATGCAGATTTCAAAGAGAACTGACAGCTCTTGGTATCTGAACAAAAGACGAGCTGGTGATGTGTCTAACCTCGCAAAGTAAAGGTCTTGCTTTAGCCTTTGGTAGAAGCATAAGCATAGTCTTTTAACGAGTCTTGGAATAAAATAAAACCGGCTTTCGAATGCTGCCTGTTTTCAATAAGCGATGATATCTACTTTGAAAGTAGACTTTCTAAAATTGTATCGTCAAGTAACTGAAGAACATAAAGATAACCTTGAAGATTTAATGCTTCATGGCCTGGTGCAGCAATCGACGACATCACCACCGAGGTAATAGAGCCTATAGCCGACCTCCTGTGGAACTAAACCGTTTACCAATGATCGGAATAATCAGTGATCACATGTATTTAGACCTTATCGGTACTTGACTTGATTTGCTTGATTTCCATCCGAGTTTTAATAGAAAATCAAACATGTAGTTCATGATTGTTTCTTAACACAGTAATTTTAATCTTACTAACCATTTCTTTTCACACTCACCCTTTCCTCTTGAAAGCTTCATCATACTCCTTATAAATTAACTCTAAATGTTAGATAATTAACTATCTTGTATTAATATCTCTTGTTTCACAACTGTGCCCTTTGAATCCAAAGAATTCTTGAGATAGGTTTTATATTTTTACATTTATACTAATTTCTCTCACTTTCTGGACAGTCAGAAGTTGGGAAAAGTTGTGAAATTAGAAAACAATATTAACCCTTTTTATACCTTACAAACAATCTGCCTTCCCACTTTGTTCAAACTAATCATAGTAGTTGGCTGTTTGATGAAAGAATTTCAGTCGTTTGAAGTGATATTTTCTTTCTCTGACCAATTCTTTTACTCAATGTGTGGCTGTTTCAATTTCATTGGCTGATTTTATCTTATCGATTACTCTATGCTTCGCTAAACTTATTGATTTCCAAACAAAGGATATCCTTAAATATTTGAAATTTCACCTACAATATACTTTCGAATATTTTTAATCTAAATTTACTATCAGTATGGAATCTTTCTGTATTGAATGTGTCTATCATTATAGCACTCTGTAATCGCTTATTTTGACTTTCCTAAAGGCATGCAGGATAGTGCTTCTTGACGCCTTTAGGTAAAACACACGTTGAACGATATATATATATATATAATGAAACCTGTTGCACATGGGCAAGTGAATTGGCAAGTACTTATAGTGTAACAGCGGAAGGCAAGACACAGATGCCAAGGTCTATTTTCAAGTGAGATCGAACCTCAATTTATATCTATACAGTTTATTTTCGTTAACCAATCACTGAGCATGTGGTTTTGGTTTACATCAGACGACATGAAATAGAATGTTCAAATACTTACATTATTCTGTTGCTAATGCACTACTGAATGTGAGAATAATATTCCGTTGGCACACATTATCTGTATCACACCACCACAATAGAAGCTGTCTAATGTGACAGTTTATCTTTCGAGTTATCGGAGAATTCAGCTGCAAGAGTTTACCAGTCTTAATTGCAGATATAAATAATATTCTTTTTTGAGAGTTTATGTTCTCATCTTTAGAGAGTCGGTCAGAATCTTAATTATTAACGCTATATCGGTGCGAAAAATTTTCCTCAACATATATATGAAATGTTTCCAAAAGAAGAGAACTTCAAACTCTCTGAATAGAGCATTTTTTGCATCTACATTAAGACTGGAATTCTCCTGCAGATATGAGATATATAGGCAGAAATCCATCTTAACTCGTAGTTTTTAACCAAACAGTTTATATTCCATTTCAAGTGAAGTAGAGCTTATGATATAAGAAGTGTTTCTGTGAACTCTGAATTATTTCTACATAGTTTTGCTAGTATTAAAGTCAGTCCTGTTAAGTGATTCTGACGAGTAAATCTCTCGGGAAATGAAAGTCAGAAGTCAACTGTTAGTTCCATTCCATGTGCCTTGTGATCCTTTCTTTTGTGTTTTGATTTGTTTACTACTTAATGCTAGTGAGTAGTATAGTGTATATTCGCTACTTTTCAACCACGACTTGTTCA